CACAAGATGATGAAGGTACTGGAGCAACTCTGGGAGAGATAGAACTGTTCAGCCTGGAGAAGAGAAGGCTCAGAGGGATCTCATCCATGTGTATAAATACCTGAGGGCAGTGTGCAAAGAGGATGGAGCCAGGCTCTTTTCACTGGTGCCCAGTGACAGGACAGAGGCAATGTGTACAAACTGAAACACAGGAGGTTCCCTCTGAACATCAGAAAATGCTTTACTGTGAGGAGGACCAAGCACTGACAAAGGCTGGCCAGGGAGGTTGTTTGTGGGTTCTCCATCCTTGGAGATATTCAAAAGTCAACTGGGCATGATCCTGGGCAACTAGCTCTAGGTGACCCTGCTTGAGAAGGACTAGATGACCTCTGCAGGTTCTTTCCCATCTCAGTCATTCTGTGATTCAAAGTCCACTTAACATCTCTGTCTACTCTATGGCTTAGGGAAAAAAAGTATTAAGTATCTTTTTTTAAATCTAAACTACTAACAAATTTGTTACTAACAAATTAGCAAATATTACCTATGTCTGTCCTCGCTGGTCCTAACAGGATTTGGGTAACAACCACCAAAATTCTGTTCTGTAGCACAGAGGAAATAGGCTTATTTGGCCTATGTGTGGTTTTACAGGCCATGTCCTTTCCAGAAGACCACATGGAGCACCTGGCTTGTTTTCAGTTAGGACTTAGAAGACTTTGTTTCTCTGTGTGATAACTGTATGTAACAGTAACAACAAACTTGATCCTTTTTTTCAGGATGCATTGTCCCTTCAGTGATGACCTCTTGTGTAATATTGAGGAAGACAGATTTTTCTCTTCAAAACTGCATCCTGTGAATTTTGGCAGGAACTCTTTGCTCCTCGGAATTAAAAAAGTGGTCCTTAGTTTGACAATAACCTGAAGTTCTGGAACTTGAGATCACAGAATCACAGAATATGCTGAGTTGGAAGGGACCCACAAGGATCATCGAGTCTAACCCTTAGCCCTACACAGGACCATCCCCAAGAGTCACACTGTGTGCCTGAGAGTATCATCCAAATGCTTCTTGAACTCTGTCAGGCTTGGTGCTGTGACCACTGCCCCGGGGAGCCTGTTCCAACCCCCCTCTGGGTGAAGAACCTTTTTCTAACAGCCAACCTAAACCTCCCCTGACACAATTTCAGGTCATTTCCGTAGGTCCTGTCACTGGTCACCACAGAGAAGTGATCAGTGTCTGCCCCTCCTCTTCCCCTCATGAGGAAGTTGTAGACTGCAATAAGGTCTCCCCTCAGTCTTCTCCTCTCCAGGCTGAACAGAACAAGTGACCTCAGCTGCTCCTCATACAGCTTCCCCTCCAGACCCTTCACCATCTTCATTGCCCTCCTTTGGATTAACTTTGTGTGGTCACATGCGACTTTTCATTGCATTTTCCCAGTTTGGGGATTTTCCCTTTTGACCTGTCTTAGGCCATCTCTGAAATTTTGTTTGCTGCAAGGACACATTGTACTGCTCAGAACAGAAAGAGATTAAGTTCAATCTATTGACTGAGTTCAATAGATTGAGCAATCAATAGATTGCTGCCAAGTGGGGACATTAAACTCAAACCCAAATGAAAACAAAGGAGTGCAGTCTCCTGACAAAGTCTTTGCAAAGAACAGATACCAAGAGAGAAATGTTATCAGCATAAAAAAAAAAAAAAGCCAGTATTATAGAAATAAATATTCATCAGAACTGTACAAAGCCAAACCATCCCCCATCCCAACACTGTAAGCTGACTAGCAGCCCTGGTCAGGATCCAGAAGCCACAAAGAACATAGAGTTCTAGTAGATTGAGTCAATGAAGATCTGACTTCAATTTCTTGTTCTTTGGTTTAATAGCCAAATAGTATCTCCCTCAAGCAGCGTTGTGAGAACTGCATTAAATGCGTAAGCACTTCAATATTAAAATGGTGAGGAAGAGACACATCACTACTGAGATGGTGCAGAAGAGGTGTTGGGCCTTACTAAGATAGTTTTGCCTCTCTCCAGTTCCTAAACATTAAATAACCTGCATTTATCAAAGAGTTTATCATCTTGGTACTTACATTTTATAACAGATCAGGGCTTCTTTCAGATGTGAAAGACCCATTGCTGTCACCCCTATTTTGTCCCATCTCAAGAAAATTCTGTGGGGTTGCCATGGCCAAGTAATTAAGAAATTTTCACAAATAAATAAGTATACAAACTTGCTACATCCTTGTCATTAGCACTAGTTTTAGGTGTGGTTTAGTTTTCCAAGGGCCAAGCATTGCTTTTGACTCTTCTTGGAAACTTAAGTTCACCATACTGACCAATATCTTGTGGGCTTTGTTGTCTTTCAGATTAGAGGGATTTTATATGAAAAAAAAGTCTTACTGGCTTTTGTTTAGGTCACTGTTTTGTAGGAGTGATGCTCAGCAATTTGACCATCTTTTCCACTGATTTTATTGTAACACTTTCCAGTTCTGTTCCATTGTGTAAGTGTCTCCTACGCAGCTGAATAAATTGTGGTATCTTAACCCCACTAAATTTATTTCTATCAGCCTCTGGCTATTACTTTTCCTTCACTATGTGTGTAATAAGGAATTTGGTTTGTTGAGTTTTGATTGGACTCATTCACCTGCCTGTTCCGTGAATAGTCATAAAACTGACAACTGTTCTAAGGATGTGTCCTTTGCCATGATGAATTCTCCCCCCCAGGCGCCTGGCAGGGGGTGAGCAGCCCAAGGGAAGTAGGGTGTTTGGGCAGTGGAGGAATTGCACATTGGGCAGTGAAGTTTTGTGCATCACTTCAAGGCTCCCTGTGGATTGTAGATTCTGAACTGGAAAGTAAAGGGAAGATGCTCAAGATTTGTAAACATCAAGGAAAATGGCACTTCCTGGGGTCTCTCTCCCTGAAGTTTGAATCAGTGCAGGTTTTACTGCTCTTCCTCTGTTTGGACAATATTTTTACCTGTGAAATAGCACTGGCACTGCTGGTACAGCAAAGGTTTGAGTTGTTTCTCATGGCAGCAGGGTAGAAACCTGTCCTGCTGAAGACCTTTGACCAGGCTGACGCTGTTTATCTTTGTAAAACTGAGCATTAGCTTTTGTTTTGAGAGTAAACAAACTTCCTTCACAGGAATACATCATTTTTCCTCAAGTTTATCTGATGGCTCCCTCTAGAGACAGGAACATAAATACTGACCTACTTCACAAATTGCAGTTCTTGGATTTGGTCACATTTAGTCCCAGAAGTGTTTTTGTTGCACTTGTTCCTCATCAGACTCAGTGCCTTTTCAAAGCTTTCTTTCTCTGATTGTCTAGATCAGTGCTTTTTTGGATGACTGCAGGAATATGGAGTTTTCAAGTTGTCTTATTTGCATTTCAAAATTATCTCCTGTAATCAGCCAATGCATCTGCCCCAGTGTGCCCAGAACTACCTCTCCCAACAAAGCAAGAGATGTAAGCTTGAGATAAACAGGGAAAACACTGTGAGCTGAGCCAGGAAAGATCTGAAGATTCGCTCTGCCAGTCAGAGTGGTAACAGCCAGTTTAAAAAGGCAGTGGGTAGATGCTGACCAGCATTAATTCTAGTAAGTAGGATCTCGTGTCATGAGATGGGGTGCTTTGTTTTTGCAGGGAGAGTGAGAGAGCAACACATAGAGGAACTTACGGATTAAATTGCTTTATAGCTGCCCTCCTCCACTGGAGTCAATTACCATGAGGTTGTTAGAATAACTCCATGTTCATTATCCACTCACCAAGTTTAACACTGGTTAATGAAAACTACTACTGCTCCAACTGCCATGTCTTTTAGAAAGGTTCTGTCATTATAAAAATACAATCAGTGACTGGACTGACAATTGAAATGGCTGGGACTGTCCCCCACCAAATAAATTTAAGTTGAAGTTTGCAGCACTGACTTAAGTCAAGCTACACTGAAGTCTATAGCAGAACTCCCTTCTTTGAGCCCAGGCAGTGCATGTTCAATATCCCACCTGAGTCATGTTTATTGGCAAGCGGTGTCCCTGCTCACATCTTGTTCCCAGTGAATGGAACACAGAAGCTGGTGTATGTGTTGGCGCAAATGCAAACGGTTGGTAGTTGCAGTTCACTCCAAAACAGTGAGGTATACGTGGAAATGCTCCGCTATTCAAAGGCAAACAACAAACATTTTGTTTGGGTTTTTTTTAAACAATGAATAAACATCACCCCAGAAATGTAACTTCAGAGGAAACGCAGTTGACAAAATTGCCCGATAAACTGACCTCCTAAAATTTTCATCCAAGACAAAAACCAGAAGTTGCAGTTGCCTCACATCACTGCAGTCAGTCCTGCTGCACTGTCCATAGGCTGTACCTTTCCATCAACACATGGGGAAATGACTGGCTCCACATGTGGTCTGTGGTGATACATTCCTCTGTGCAAAATCCAGGAGAGCAAAAACTTCCCAAATACGTGACTTCAACAAATGAAGAAAAATGTGAAAGCCTTCAGAAGGGGAATAATTAACAACTGAGGTCAGAATCATATAAGCCTCAAAGCTGCCACAAGAAGTGTTGGGTTGAGTATGGACAGGGAAGGGCAGCAATAGCAGCTGCTGTGCTTGTTCTGCTCCTATAAACTAGGTGTGTGCAGAAGTCCCCAGCATGCACTGCTTAGCAAGGATTTGTGCCACCTTCTCTTTCTGTTCATCTGTCACTGGATGCCATTTTTCTTTTGCCCATAAAGCTTTATAAGTGGCACTAAATGTATTTACTTTCATGAAGGTACAAGTCATTCTGAATTGCATTAACACAAATTCTCTCGCTGGCTTACAAGCCACATGCTGCGTTTGCTCTTGTGGAATCAGGCTGAAACAAAGCATCATCAGGACCATTATACCAAAGTGTGTGAGACTCTGGATTTTGTTTCTAATTGTCGTTCCTGTGTTCTAGTTCTTTTTAAATCACAAGTGCTCTTAAACCATAGCATGTTGCTCTTTTACACTGTGACCAAACTTTGATTAAAGCAGTTTTCTGAACTCTGGCTTCATTTTTAAGCTGTGACTAAAATGAAAAACATAGGCCATTCAAATAACATCAGTGCAGAATGTACACTAAAATGTGTTATATATATAGATATATTTAGATATATATAGCGCACTTTTTTCATTTTTATGAACTATTTAAATACCAGTCATTAAACTTCTTCTGTACTGCAGAGCTGAGAAGCAACTTAACTACTTGATAATGCAAATGTTTTTATTAGCCTTGCAGCTACTGGATTAAGAAATGTAGTTACTATATATGCTTCCAGCTATACTCTTGTTTTGGGTAACTGTATTATAAACAGCTGGAACTATAGAAAATGTTAATACCAGACGTAGTAAATAAACCTCTGTACAAGCCTTGCTGTTGTTTTCTTTCACTGTAGTGTAAGAAGGAGTTCAGTTCATAAACGAAGTTATAAGTGAAGCAGTAGTTTGAACGCTGACCCAGCCTCTTCAGGAAGAGCTGTGACAGCCTCACTTGTTTCAGCACTGCTTATCATGGGAAAGCTTATTTCAGGGCCTCTCTGACAGTAAAGTCTTTATTTCCAAGGAGACTGATAATAGGCTGAAAAGAGAAGTTTTTTCCTAAACTGATACTTTATGGGAGGTCTTTGAATAATTAGTAAATGCCATCAGCCAGGAAGGTATCTTTGGGGAAATAAAATTATGTAAAGCAGATATAAGGAGCTCTCCCGCACCCATCTGCAGGACCTTAGCTACCAGTCACTGCAGAGACCTCAAGAACACCTGTGTTATATTTGTGTCTAAGTTGTTTGTCCTACCACACAGGTCTGAGCCATGTGTGAAAAAGTGTGACCAGCTGGCTGGGTTCTATAGGCAGTTGGCTTATAAACACAGTTCATGAGAAAATGTGTTACCACTGCTTTGCAGTAAATCTGAAATAAGTAAGACAAAATGAATCCCACCTGAGTGTCTTTGTCTGAGCTGTCTTCATCATTAGTAGAAAGATGTAGGACTGTAGGTGATGTTTCTTAAACTAGATTCAGTAAATCCCTCTGAAAAAGCCTGTTTTCTCTCTACGCACTTTACAGTGAGAATCCCAGTAAGTAATTCAATGTCCACAGATCAGGTTAGATGGATCCCATCCTCTGGGTCTGAAAGTGAACAGATGCAGACAAAATACAACCCTCTCATCAGGAGGTGGACTTCACCTCTAAAACCTGTGCCCCACACTGCTCCCTTCCCCCTCTTAATCCATCCATAATGATACAGCAATTCCCTTTAATCTTTTGCGGAAATGGCAAGCATATACAGCTTAGCATGTTATTTCTTTTCATGCCGACAGTCATACAGCCATTTCCCTGCTGGATCCAGCCCTGTCTGGGTGTGTTATGTGTTGAAACCTCCTACTTCATGGTATATTGACATAAATGGGATAATACTCAGCCCTGGCTCCATAAAGTAATGTGGAAGGCATTTGGCAGTGTTCCTAAATTCTTGCTGTTTAAACATGAGGAAGCAGATAATTTCTGCATATCAGCACTGATTTACAGAAACTGAAGGCTGTGAGGAATTCCTCTATTTAAACTAAGCAGACACTGCAAGAGAGTTTCTGCATTCCCAGTTATAGGTTTGAGCCCAGTCATCCTCATGCAGTGAATGACGCCACCAACCCGTCAAATACAGTGGTTAAATGTTGTTTAAAACATTTCCCACTTCTTTCCTGAAGTCTTTCACAAAGGCTACTGAAAGAACACTCCTCTACATTTCTCTGTGCTGAATGTTTTAAATTATTCTGGGTAACTTTACAAAGTCTTGGGTTTTATTTTAATGCCTCCCAATTTTTCTTCCAATTCAAAGAACACAACCTGAGTGCGTCTTGAGACAGCAGGTGCATATTCACAATGGGAGAGACTCAGCAGCAGAAAAAAATGACACAGGAACCACTCTCCCCCATTATGAGAACACCTGAACCCAATTCATTTTTAACAGGCCTATGGCATCCTACTTCCCCTCAACAGCAGGGATACTACAGCAAGTGTGTTACTGTGTAATTAGAAGCTTTATGGTTACACTGTGTCAGCAGTGACATTAAGTTCCTGGCGAACTGGATCTAAAATTCTGGGAGAACTCTTCCAGCACTGCCATTAGCTTCTCCTCATCCTCCAGTGGACTGTGGGTGCTTGCCAGGGGTAAGTGTGTAGCGACTGGCTGCCTGTCTGTAAGGAAAAAAAAAAATCCAGATGGGTACATTTAACTTTCTCTTCTAGCAGAAAGGATATTTTTCTGCTAGACTCTGTACTTCTCAAACATACCTCACAGTTTTGAAGCCAGGAAACATACCTTCTAGGAACCTGTAAATAATGTTAAGCATACCTCCTAAACCAGAAATTAAACTAATTCAGTTTGAATTCTGGAACTATTTTCCTTTAACACAATGTGATAGACAGTGGAGCAAGATTCCATTTACAGCCAGGGACAGTACAAGAAAAAGGTGGCTTTATAGTGGGTTTGCACCTGTTCCCTGTCACTAGTGCAACACCTGTAGGCAAAGAGCAATAGCTGGAGACTGTTGCTGCAGGCAGAGGATACTTCTGCAGCATGAGACGGGTTTCCTTGCCTCCTGGTTAATGTTTCTAGTACTACTCAAATCTCCAGTTGGGACTCAGTAGTTAGGATTACTTTCCATCTTAAAATGCTTACTTTCATCCTTAGAAATAATGGTTAAATTCTAAATGCCCAGAACCTTGGGCTGATTGATCAGTTGCCGTAAGTAACACGTATCCAAGATGTCTGACCAAATTTGCTCAGTTAGATGATTTACTTAGTTTTCCAAGTCTCATACTCTTCACTCCCTCTGTGTAAATATAGCCGTATCACCACCCATTCTAAGGGATTTTTCCCTCCAAAAACATGGTATTTAGAGCCCAGGAACCTTATGACAATGCCATCAGGTTTCTATGGAACAACAGTCAGAGCACTAGTGAAGCACTGTTAGTCTATTTAACAAGTCCAACTTCCAAAGCAGCCAGCTGAGATGAATTGAACAAGCTGTTGCAACCCTGGGCTGCAGATTTCTCTGCAAACTTATCAGGCTGCCATCAGGCTTCCCAGGAGAGCAGAGATATTTGCTCTCTTAAGAGCAAATGTTGTAACTGGCTGCACACACCACATAACTTCTCATGGAAAACTGAGGAGAGAGAAATATGCAGAGGAACATTCCCTTCTCCACTGAATATGAACTGCTTCCTACCTAACCACAGCGGTTCCAGCAGACTGTGCTAAAGTTTGGGAACTATGTGTGAAAGCCAAGTTCAGCATCACAGAGAGGATGCTTCTAGTCTTTGGAAAGCAAGTCTCTGTCAAACATTTTTTATTTATTTTGGCACATGCAGATAATTCTGGTAGTACTAGTCATGTTCTCACTTCCTTTTATTTTTTTCCTCAGGAAAAAAAAATGCTGGCTTTAGTTTGGTCTCAGAGGGAACAGAATAAAAGAGAACAGAGAAAATGGAGGGAAGCTGTGACTGAGTTGGAAAATGGCTGCCTAGGACCAAAAGCACGACGTCTGTGGTAAAGTGCTCCTGCACACCAAACCCTTTACCGAAAGGGCCTGAAAAGTGCCCATACGAAGCTGTGGCTTCCAAAGGGCAGTAGCAGAGAGAAATAAATTACTTCACTATTTGATAGGCATGGGACACAGACACAGGACCTCTCTTGCAGCCTTAAGAGCAGTCATGCCAGGATAACAGCTCTCAAAAGTCAATAGCTAAAGAGCCAAGGTGATTCCCTAAAGCTGGGAGTAGAAAAAGGCCAAAGGCAAGAGCCTGGTGGAATTATGATCTAGAGAAACAACAACTGAGCAGAAGCATCAGGACCAGAAGAAGGTGATCAGAGTAAGAAAAAGGCAAAGCCTAGTTCTACAAAGAAGGTTGACCAGCTGGGATGTGTGGTTTCCACATGCACCACATGCTGACATGAAAAAGGTCTGGTTAAATTTCTGTCAGCCAACCCTGTGTGAGTATCTGTGGGACAGAAGGGACAATGTCAACCCAACTCTGGAAGTCTGAGCTTCCTGCATGCTTCATATAGAAATTTGGTGAATCAGGATTTGAGTGCCACATCCAACAAAAGTCCTGAGCTTCTGTAAGCAATTACCCTGACCTTTTTCTTTCTGGACTGACCTGCTTCACCATTGAGGCATCCATACTTCCAGCTGCTCCTACAAAGACGCCTGTCATTTGCCTGGGAGAAAAGAAAGGCTCTACTACACTTTTCCATTCCCTGTGCTCACAGTTCCAAAAATGCCACTGTGCTCAAGTCTCTGCCCAGCATTAGAGAAAGGGGGAATTGGCAGTTTTAGCTAGCATGGAATGGTAGGAAGAACAAGTCAAAGCAAAGCCATCTCCCAGTGCTCTGTGAGAAGGATGCTCATTTCCTAGCATCATAAAAGATGTTGTTTGACTGCTGTGATTCCCATTCCCTTGGCACAGTCCTACATACAGCTATTTTGATTTAAAAAATCCCCAACCCTCCCTAAAGAAATGCTTTGAAGTCTCTATCAGCTACTTTGGAGGACAAAAGCAGGATCATAACTTAACACAACGTTCACTTGAACCTTTAGTCTTGTAACGATTTTGATAAATGCTTTATCCTTTGATCAAGTTGCCTGGTCCAGCCTTCATCCCCTTCCAGGCCAGACAGGGATCCTACAGTTCAGGCAGCTGAGGGATCTCCACTGCTATTCAATGTAAGACACTGCCTCCTTACCTTGGAAGAACAAGCCGCTTGGTAACTTGGTTGCCTCAGCTGATACTGCCAACCATACCACAGTGTCAGCTCCCTGGGCCTCTGTGCGCAGGGAGTTCTTCATCTTCTCATAGAAGTCTGGCATTGACGACCTCACGGCTAGAAAGAATAACAATGGAATGGTGGTCTGCCATGCAAGGCTTCTTTGATTTAAAAAAAAAAAAAAGGAACAGCTTAAAATTGCCATTCTGAGTGTAGGAAGAAGAGAAGGCACCTTGCAGTTTTTGGAAGAAAACGAGTATTTCCCCATAGCAGGGAGTATGATGGCTTGCAGGAGAACAGCGCTAAGCTGCCATATGATCCATCAGTTGTTTGTTTGGGCCAAATGACAGGGACAAAACTAGTAGGAGCTGAGAACAGGATCAGTGAGAGGTTCCCGTGCCAATTCCATTCTAAACTGTAAAGACTACAAACATAGGCAAAACAAAAATTCCAAAAAATGAGTATTCTAATGGGATTTTTAGCTCTTATTTTCTCATCACTTTTAGGAAACCAGTTGCAGCACTGCACTAAAAAACTGTATGGTGAACAGTACCTAGACCAACTGCATAATTCCTGTCTAAACTCTGGTTTCATTTCATTGTGTCCAACAATCCTGCAGGTGTTTATTTTTGGGGGTTGGAGAGTTTTTTAACTTTAAGGTGGGATAACTTTATGGTTCATTAGGTTTGAAATCCACAAAGGCAGTGCAAAAATAAATGCATTTTAAAGAAAAAGAAATACCAGGATATTTAGTTGGAACAGGCAATTTTCAAGCATAAAGTAGACAGGATAAATGCTTTCGTCATCAAAAGCAAATTTGGGAAACTGCATCCCTATAAAAGACCTAGAGATGCGACTGCTATTCTGCATCCCAAGCTCGGGCACTGGGGGTGTAACATATTGGGGAATGCAACATTCATACTGGATAACTGATGCTGGTCCACCTGCTGAGGCACAGTCACTGAAGAACAGCTGCAGCTCAGACAAAGAGCTGTCTGGACAAACTGCTTCTTGACAGCAGTAAATGTTTAGAGGAAGAGTAGAGGAACAGGGCTTGGACATTCTTCATTTTCCTACATGCCCTCATGAATTCCCAATGTCTGCATGTTGGTACTTAGAGAGGCAGAAGCTTCATCTGTGCATTTAACAGTTCCACTACAAATGTAACTTAAAGGTTACCTTAAAGAACTATGGCTCTGCTGTGCATTTGTGCAGGGCTGGAAACATTCATTGCCCATTATTATTCTCTGGATGTACACAGATAGCAGACACTGTGCAGAATAGAGCTTCCAAGGGGATACAAAACTATTTCTAGCACCAGTTTGGAGAGAAGAATTACTGCACCTGTTGGAAAAATCTACCAGGAAGTTTCACGTCTCTTTGCTTTTAGACTAATCCTGAAAAGAAGAAACATACAGTCAGAATGTGAAGCAGATGTTACCTGGAGTGTCTGCCCAGCCGGGGTGCATTACGGAGAAATGGATGTTTCTGTGAGCTTTTGCCCACCGTTCTGTCAAGACAACTTGCTGTCTCTAGGATAGAGCAACAAGAGCCAGACTAGCATTGAATTCAACAGCCTGTGCACCTAAGTGGTTCCCAGGGAAATAAACTACATCAAATGTGCTGTAAATACCAGAGCATTTATGTATAGCAGAAATACACCCTTGCTCATCCTGACTGGATTTACTGGATAATTTCATCAGAGACCACCACGGTCATTGCCATCCATATCCTGGCCACAAGCTTATTTATAAAGCAGTAGCACTGCTTTTTATTGACCACATCTACTTGCTGCAGACTGTAGGCAAGAACTAAGCAGGCAGACAGGGTTCATCAGCTAAAGACAGTTTTCCCCCTTGAGACTTTTATCACATCAAATGAAAATTCAGCCATGCTCTTCATGCAAGGTGTATGCACTCACAAGGGTGTGCCAGCACACTCCTGAAGATTATTGCCCACGTGCCTCTGTATGGGTTGGATGCAGTGAGAAAGCAACAGGCTTTTTGCAAAGCTGATGGTCTGAGCTGCTTAGCAAACAAGTGCTGGGCTTTGCTTTCAATATCATGGACAGTACCTTGTTCTGTGCATACACCATAGTTCCATCAAATGTCCCATTTTCCGACTGCAAGTCAGATATGTTTAATTTTTGAACTAGCATGCCCCCAGAAGAGACAGTTATCTGTAATGAAATGAATGAAAAGCAAATGAATGAAAAGCAAAACCAGGAACTCCCCACAACTGCACTCATGCATGAAATGTGGTCTTCAGGCCATATTTGGAAGTCCGTAGGGAGCAGGATTCCTCTGCATACTCTTTGCACTATGCTTGTGCTCATGTGTGGAGCATACCTGAAGATGAGGTGGAAGAAATACAATTTTTTTTAGGAAGTGATTTTCATTCAAAGTGGTGTTGATTCATTTGGGGGATTCTGTGCTTCTTCCTTTTGAAAAGTAATGGGGAGAAAGAAAGTAGCAGAACAGCACTATTTGTATTTTGTTTCTTTAGCATTTACAGAAGCTAACTAGAAAACAAGAGGCCATACAAAACTTGAGAAATATAATTTTAAAAAATGCACTTGCTGTCTTATTTTACACCAAGATCTGTAAAGTTCTTTTAAGCCTATACTCCTGTTGTAGGTATTTTGCACCCTGCTGCAGGAGGTAACTTGCCTTAAGGAAAGTAAAAGGGTAAGTTTCCAAATGAAGTGTTTTACTCTGATTTCCAATGAAGGGTTGAGAGCAGCAAGCAGGAGCTTCGCCTTGGAGAATGAGGTGGTCGTTAGTAAAATCCAAGAGGATTCCGAGATGCTTACAGCATTATAACTAATTCTGCATTCCTAGTACAAAGAACCGCTGTCACAAACCAGAAGGTAAGCACTGTAAAACACCCCGTTTAAACAGTATTACAGACTCACCACTCTGGCATCAGCTTCTTTTCCCAGGAGGGGCAGCAGGGCAGTTGTCAGGATGTATGTACCTAAAAGACAGACAGGCACCAACATTAACTTTTCTTTTTTAAAAATGCTTTCTTCTCCCCCCACCTTCTATAGCAACCCAAAACCCAAAGTCTCTGAAACCTGATCTGAATTTGACAATGATTTTTTTTTTACTGCTTTACCTGCAATGTGCCAACTCAACTTGTAGTGGTTCACGTTGCCGTTTACTTAGCAAAAGGCATATCCATTATTTTGTAGACTTTTATGTTTATTGTACCTATAGACCAAACTGCTCACTACATTCAGTCATGAATCTGAAGGCAAAATGGTTCAGATATGGAATTCCTTGGATGGGGGGAGGTGATGCCAGTGAAGAAACAGGGAATGCATTTCCCCCCCACCAAGTGTGGCAGATATACACAGATCTAGGCCAGGTCACAAATGAGAGAAGAAAATTGTGCTTCACACTTGCATTTCTTAGGGCTCTGCATATGCACTTAAGACTCATCCATTTTTGCCCTCTCACTGTGAAATCACTCAGAGTACACTGACACTTGATTTGTGCTGCACGCAAAAACCACCTCTTAAATCCCCAGCATGACCACTATAGAAGACAAGGAATCCTTGGGGGAAAAAATATTAATGCTGCTTGCCCAAGGCTACGCTAAGATTACTTGGGGAAACTTAACTGTGTCCTTCCCTGCTTTAATGATGTTTGTTTAGCATAGAGTTGTACACACCACACAAATATATTCCATTACAGCTGTTACCATGACCAGTAAAGTTTGTTATTCCCAACAGTGTACAACTGTTAGTGTATTTGATTCAGACACACAGACACACCTAGTGATGTTTCACCCACTCGAGTGCAACACAAAGATTTTGCTTGGTTTTATCTCTTCAGAGATTTTTTTTTTCCATTTAAAATATATTTTTAAAAATTCTGTTTAATTAAAAGTTAATCTAGCCCCATTTAGTCTAGCGTTTCTGCATCTACTTCCCTCTCATGCCTTTACAAATGGCTCTAGTTCAATAATTCTATGCCAGAGATAAATGCATTTTTTTCCATGAGTGACTGAGGCCATGTTTTTCACTAGGCATGAAGACTTGAGCATGTCTTTATAACTTCTCTTCCTCACAGACAATGAGATCACCCAATTAAAATACAGAAAAAAAGAAAAACTACCAAAATCAAGCATGTTACATGCTTGGTGAACAAACTGTTCAGTTCCCCTGTCAGTCACAGCAGTCTTCATTTTCTCTATATAATCAGAGGCACGTCCATAGGCACATAATATATTTAAAAACCTGGCAAATCAAACAAAGCAAATACGCAGCAGATGAGTAAATGCAGCCTGTCTTCAGCAGAAAATGCAAGCTAAGGCAGTTGCCAGTGAATAAAGAGAGCCCGAACGTCTCCCCTGGTGGTGGCGGGGAGACTGAGCAATGACATCATTAGGACAAGAACTACCAGTGATTGTCATGAGAGACTGCCACGATGGAAAGCGATGGAAAAAAAAAAAAGAAAAAAAGAAAAAATCACTTCAGTACAAGCTGAGAGCCTGAATTACATGTTGTTTTGCTATGGATTCTTCAAAATGCAAAGTAACAGTATGTCTTGGTTAAATAAGCTGCATCTCCTAAAGGCAGAGCTGCAATGCACCAGTTATGACGATGCTCGATTTTACCATCCTGCAGATTACTTCACACTTTTAAGGGCCTTCATGTTGATTTGTTAATTCCAAAGAGTTGCAAAGATGAATGCATTAATGTTGCCTCATTAACAACTGAGTTTTGTTTTGTTTTCCAGCTGGATGAGAGAAACATTTCATGCCAGAAATCCTGCTTAGAGCAACCTACAGTTAGTCAGAAGTTTATGTGCTTATTTAAAACCACAAACTAACTGCAATGCCAGTGTCTCCTCTCTTCCTCAAGTTTATTAAGAATTTGGTAAATCCCACAAAGCCAGAGCATTCTATCTTTTTGCCCCACAAAACCACTTGCTCATTTGCTTTGAGACAGAGCACAAACAGAATAGTTTTGATCCCAGCTTCCTATGCTAAGCAACAGCATCTCAAAACACCCACAGATGCGATGCATCAGGCATTAAGGCTGAAGCATCTAATCTCACCCACTACTAAATATTTCACCAACTACTGTCCCCGTTTTAAGGGTTTGAACACAAACTCCTTACTGCTTTAACAAATATACTCGGATGTTATACATTCTTATATGCCTGGGCTGGTCTGATAGGCAAAACAGGCTGCACAAGAAATTAGAACAGTAATAGCAGAATAGATACACCTTATAATAAGGTTTATTGTGGGTTGGAATACATCATGATCACTTGAATCCTCCACATTTTTATTCAGGCAGACAGGAAGGACGCTCAGTAGAGCCAGTGCAGAGTCCTGGCACAGCCATGTACCTCACGGCAGGTATTTTGTCAAACACAGCTATATCGCAGCACGCAGCAACAGAGAAACTAATTTCTAAGTAAAAGGGGAAGCTGCAAATGAATGCATTGCCTGCCACAGTCCTTATAAAAACATGGATTGTATTAACACTATAGGAAAAAAAAAAGGAAATTTTTCTGATTAAAAAAACAAACAAACAAACAACTTTGCAAGCAAAACCAAGACTGATTTGGTAGAAGAAACTATATTCACCTCTGCCCCTACTTAAGGAAATCAAGGTAATATCCAAATTGTATATCCTTTTGCCAATACTTGATTATTAATACCAACATACTGGATATCAGCCTTTCCAAAATGAACACTTGAGCATTCTAGTACCTTTCCTTAATATAAAAATCATTTTTGTCTATAAAAGGAGAAACCTCCTCCCATGGAGCTTAATTAAAAAAGGTAAAGCATATCAAATGTGACTAATGCTTAATTATCACTGTGTTCAAACTGTACAGATTTTTTGAGGTTTCTTTTTTATTTAATAGTTCAACACAAAAGTACGCGAAAGGAAAGGTGACGATCAATGGAGATGTGCCTTGCACTAAAAGCATTAAGCATTGGGTATCTTGGTGATCCTGTTCCTTCCCTGAGAGGACCTTCATGGTTCTGTCAGAAACAAAGGAATACCTTTTTTTCCCACCAAAAAAGGACTGCCAGTACTCCTGGGGGATTCTGGAGAAAGCACGTCCCCATCTTGAGCACATACTCTGTGAATGGAGATGCTCAGCCTTGAGGCCACCACATTTCCCAGTGCCTGTTCCACAGCAGTTGTATCCATGACAGAGGAGGAATTGAGAGCCCTCTGGGATACATAGCAACTGAGAGCACAATGTTTCTGTCTGAACAGTTCTCCTGGACTACGGCCCATTTCTTGCACAGGTCTGAGTGCCTGTGGAAAAGAGCAGGCTACTTTGAATTACAGCAGAAAATCGAGCAGCAGCCTCTTGCTCACACACATCTCCAGCCCAGCAGCAGGCAGGGAGCTATGAGTGCACCCACAGGCAGTGCTGGACATATGGCTGCAATACGTGCATCTAGGACTGTGTGACATCATCATTTCCTGTCACTGGAAGGTATAATGTCTACGTGGCCCGAAAGATTGTCTCCCACTCACTAGTGTAACACGGGAAGGGGTGGGGGCGGGGGGGAAATCAGTGAAATGGTATATAACATTTCCCTTTCAAAAGAAGTATTTACTGTGACACAAAGGAGTCCAGCAAGATGAATTTAGGAGTTTGCTCAGAAGCAGCAGGAATGCAGAAGGTGAGTCCAGTCTATCACACTCACATACGGGATTTTGTCTTGCCCTCAATGAACTCTGCCGAGGTGAAGAGTTGACTAGCAAAACCTACTGGACAAGGTTCTGTATAATGAAGTTTGACACAGTACCTGCTTGCCCTGTTCTCTCCAGTTAAAAAGGCTCCTGGGATTGATGTACAACTTCTTTTAAAGATAAACAGCCTCTGCAACATCAGCTTTGCTTTGGCAAAATTACTGTAAACTCTATGTCCTGAAGCTGAACTCACATAATAGGAAATCATGTATAATACAGTGTAATTAAAACTTTCCTATAGAGCAACTCCACCATTACACACCATTAAACCAACTGTATCATATGGTAAAGTAGACAGCGTGGGTTGCCAATCTATGCATTACACATAGTCATTCCACACAAAAGTACTGAGCATGGCATTTTATGGGAACACATTTTATTCATACACACTCCCTCACAAGTGCTGATCACATTCATGTTTATTTAGGTTTCATATTTACTTGCTAAATAAAAAAAAAAAAAAACCACCAAAAATATTGAATCACCATACATTCCCTTGTGGTCTGTTTTGTAATTGCTCCACTTGCTCTGAGATTTTCTCAATTTAGTTGAGTAATCTAATATTGTGCTCTAATTAATAACTCCCATTTTTGACTCCATAGAGTGAGCTATTCTGTCAAGCTGGATAAGTACTAATTCAGTGGTTTCACAATCACAGAGTGAAACATTAGTGATGTAAGTGTAGAAAATGAGGCACTGTTATGGAGATAAACATTCAATTCGTATCATCAGTTGTTTTAAAAAAAGCCCAAAATACTATAAAAACCAGCCTGTCTGCTTCATAAACTTCTAAATAGAATTATGCTACCTTTCCCATGACCTGATGTAGAAGCTGAAGGGACGCTATGGAAAACACTACTTTTAGGTCTTGAGGAAAGGTAGCTCTGCGTGTTCTTGCAACACTTATTTCACTGTGGATCTCACAACATGAACAAAACAAAAGCTATCCTAATGCAACGGACAGCAGTCTACAGTGTATTAGACACTAGTCTTTCCCCCAGAAGGCTACATGAAACTAAGCAAAATAAAGAACAGTCCTAACAGAAAATATAAACAAACACTGTGAATGTAGATTTCCAAACTGCTGGTGTTGTAAATGAGCTTTAGTCTGCTAAAACCTGGAAGCCTCCTTAGGATTCACATATTTCAGACTTAAAAATCAACAGGATATCACATTTAATAATAGTACGTCAACACAGTCCGATCTGCTTTACAGATTTAATGTGCCCCTAAAACCTGTACTTTAGAAATCAATTTTAAAGAAAAGTATGGTTTCAGCAGAAGTAATATTGTAAAGCCACTACCTGTTTATAACATCAAGTTAATTGATGATGCAATTATTCTAGACGCAAGTGTCTTGGTGGATTCTAGAATGTTTTTTGCTTGATGTTCTATCTGGCAATCAGTGGCAAATTGCTGGTGAGGTTTCTAGCCTGCTAACATTCAGAGAAGAGCAGGCAGCCAGCACCATACTCAGTGAAGTTTTTCATTTGCCTGAGCTTTGCAGTATTAGTAGGAACAGTGTTATTTTGACTGTGAAAAAAAGTGGGAACAAAAAAAAAAATATACAAAAAGCCCCCAACAAACAAACTGACATTCTTCCTTGACCTGGTTATCTTTTCAAGCCTACAATTTATGCAGTTCTTAGTCTCAGAGATCCCTGAGTCTCTTTCCTGAGTACAAGCTCAGGAATGAAAATTTTAGTGTGCTGTCTCTGAGGGTCAATTCCAATGCACTAGCAATAACAGAGCATATAGGAAGAGTCAATAAACATGAAAGACAAAACAAAGGTTTACATTTCCCTCAAATTACAAAGCTCAGCTCAATAAGGGTTCCTCTGTGTCCTGGGAACCCAGGCTTTAGTACAGCTACTGGATGTGCAATTATATTAAACCTTATCCTTTCAGGTGGTATCTCTCATCTGTAAGTCTCAAAGCTCTTTAGAAAGAAAATTGGTATCACACTCTCCTTTTCACAGGTAAGACTGACTTGCCAAAGATCAGGCATTGAACTTATGGCAGACTGGCAACTGATATCCAAGTTATTTGACTTCCAAGTAATTCAGAACACAGTCGATCAGGCTCCACTGGCTTGTGTGAAACACCAGTTAGATACAGTAAATGTGTAGGGAAGAGACTGATAAATACCCATACAGGTTAGGGAGTTTGCCATAGATGGGCTGTACTGCTACTGTGATAGATAAACATCTTATTTCCTCTGGCTCTTCTGCTTCTTGCACAGAGAGTAAATGTATATGTCTATATATTATTAAAACATGAGAGCACATTAGATTGAAGAAAAGGTGCATACGGGGAGCATCATTTATTTATCTCTGAGTGTGTTTTAGCATCCTCTTGGCTGGTAAGTAGCAATAAAAATGTAACATATATGCCATTTTTCCATGTCAAGAAGGAAGATGTGTTGAGTAAAAGTAAAGTGAGGCAGGCTATAAAATAGAGGAACAAAGATTGTTTCAGCTAAATGTCTGGTGCTTCAATAAGGACATGCTGCTTTTGCCGACACTTGCTTATCAATGCTGACATTTTTTTCTAAAATTACTAAATAGGGCCATCTTTAATAGTCTTTCCTGGGAGTTATACTAAAACAAGTAAAATAAAATAAAAAAAAAAAAAGTTGACTCAGAAGTTTGCAAGTCTCATCAGATGAAATGACTGCTTATTGCTGCCCAACTCCCAGATACAACCCTGAGTACACAGTCAGCCCACAGGAAGAAATGTAAGGGCAACATCACAAACTAAAGAATACAAAAATAAAAATCTGCCCACCACGATTGGCAGCTCCCCAGGAAACCTGCCCGCATCACCCCAAGCCAGTCACTATATTTCATACTGAAGGTGCATTTCAATCAGCAAAGTGCTATTTCAGACTCATGTCTGGTTAGTGCTCCTGCATTTGAGTCTGAGTGCTCCACAGCTATTCTGCTCACTACACCTTCACTGAGCTCCAACAATCACTCAACAATTCTTGAGGCTCTAGCAGGGAAAAAAGGAACAGTATTTCATTTGACAGCAACAACAGAACCATGACAAGCCACACAGTGTTTGAGCCTGAGCCCCATTCTAAGGATGCTACAGGCACCAGCACAGATGCAGCTGCCACTGCCTGCTCAAAGCAGCTTACAGTTTGAACTTGAATATCAGACAACCCATACAAAGCCTGAACTATCAACCTGCATTTTGCATATTCCTGACCTTCACCCACCTGCATATTCTGACAACTTTAGAGAGGACTGTACACGTCCTATTTCAGTTGCTGTCCTCAATTAGCCAGTCAGTAGTGTTTTACATTAAAGGAATTTTACTTCCTATTCCAACCAGTATTAAATTTGTATATATGCAGTCCTTTTTGTCCCGCATATGCCCAAGAAAAGATCAAGATACAAAATGTGTTTCACAAGGCACACGATCAATTAGAACTGAACTCTTAGCATCCATTATGCTCAGAAATGGACTAACAGATCAGTTACGAGGGAAATATTCCTAGAGTGGATTTAAAAGCTCCACAGCATTTCAGACACCTAAATGAGTAAATTTACAGCTTATAGAAGTGTTAATCAGATATCAGATACAGAATTCAAAGACTCTGTTGTGCATTTAAAGCATTTGATATTTCAGAGTCTTGCATTATTAGACAGTTACAACCTACATGCTCCTTTACTAGACCAGAGCTAAGATCCAGGGTAGAAGTAAAAAATGAAAGAAACATAGTAGGAACACCCTGAATGTGAAGATCTGCAAAAGATACTGATATTATTCTATCTTGTTTCTGCAGAGATCATTCAAGCATTTCCATGCTGCTACCGAGGGGAACAACTGCACATTTTCTGAACAGGGGTCTTGAGCCCACACCAGCCTTCAGGCTTTAGTGCTGCTGGGACAGAGAGGGGAATTTAACTTGTCCTCTCAGACCACATGCTAGTTTACAGCCAACCTATATACCAGCCATACCTAATTTAGCCAAGTTTTTCTCTGGGAACCTATAACCACAGGTAGTTACTGATACAGAAATAACTTCTCCAAAGTAAAGCACACCCAAAGGCATCTTGTGCTTGGGAAAATAACACAGCATCTACTCTGACAGGTGTTTCTCCAAACAGCTTTCTCCTATTTTGGCTCCAGAAGTTACGATTTATTACCCCATCTGCAATTTTGAACAAAAAAGCATGCAGTTTGTAGCATTTGTCCTTCATGTGTGTCTGACCTGCAAGCACAGAAGCTTTCTCTTGTACAGCCAGCCTCTTCCAGCTCAACCAAGTCCCACTCTGTTCTAAGAGATTCAAAATGTAATCCTTATTGTTGCCTAGAGAGAACCGGTCTAAGCAAAGAACCAAGTCCTTGTTTGAACTCTGAAGAAGCTGGACAACAAAGGATGCCTCATCTCCTCAAACTTCTTATACAACCATGCAGCAAGTGATACACAAATAAATAAAGGAGATCTATAAGTAATATTCACAAAAGATAATATAGGCATTTTCCTAGTTTGCTACAACCATAATTCAGCTTCCTCTGTACAGCTGTATATCACTAGTGAGGCTGATTTACAGCTGGGAAAGCAGAACTTGCTGCTTCTACTTTTGCGATAAAATGTAATTCAAGTGATGCACTAGTATGGTTCATCAGCAATTAATTTCCTCAATGTTTAAAACTAAACCAAAGCAAGCTTTTGCATTCAGACTGTAGTACTTGTTTCACTCTGCTTCTCTCTGAATGAACTGTACCTTTGCACATTGCTGGATTTTTGTTTGAAAAACCACAAGAGGGTTAAACTAATTTAAGGTGAATACATTTCTCAGTGCAGAAGTTCTTGTACTTCTGTAGCCAGGGGAAATTTGATAGCAAAATAAAATAATTATGAATTTTTTGGCCATGAGAAACAAAAGAATGTTAGCAAAAGATTAGTTTGAAGGAATGAATCTGTGCCTTTATTCTTGATTTGTCAGTTTAATTTAGTCAGACTAGCAGAAAAAATAAGCTGTATACACCATATCAGCAAAGCACAGGACATTTATACCTAAAATGTTAGTTTACAAAGCAACACAGGAAAAAGGCTAAGAATAAAAACCAACAGTGGCTTCCAGGTTATGCTAGTTCTATAAATGCCTTATCTTTATAGCCTAAGCTTTCCCCTTCCTCATTCCAGATGCTGATGAACAGGAGGAAAACACGAAGCACCACAGTTCCTCCTTAATGCATCACTTTTGAATACATTAAAGGCAATCTCTTGAGAGAACCACCTACATTGCACAGAGACAGAGCGTCAGGACTCTTGGTTGATGCAAGCACCGCATCTCTCTTTGCAAGAGGTGCAGCTTTCAGCCCTATAGGTATCAGCAGCAGCAGGCAGCTCTTCTCTCTGCTAGCTTGTTGTTTGCTCACATCTTTTCCAGGGCTTTTATGGGGGAACTTTACACTTTGCTTGCCGTCTTCCCTGCTCATCCGCATCTCCCCTTTCCTCTTGACTTGCTTCCCTTCACTTGTGCCTCTTATACCACCACCACACAGTTCACAGGTTAGGCCCCTTATATGTGGAGTGCCCAAGACTTGCCCTCTACTGCTCTATCACCTGACTAGAGATTACATCTCTTTGAGAGAGCCCAGGGCACTGTATACAGCACAGTCTTCCTACACAGTGCCTGTCTCACCAAACAGGGCTGTGGAAGCCTACTGACACACTGAATGTCTCTTTAAATACCTGAAGCTCTACCTAAGCCACAGAAGCAAACTTATTATGAAGAGCATCATTAGGAGCACTGCTTGGAACAAAATTTCCTAGCGAATTTTGAATTATTTAATTAAATCTTATCTGCAGTTGTCCACTGCTGCTATGATAAATAAAGGTGCTGACAGCAGAACAATTGAAAAATTGAGAAATTAAAAACAGTGACACTCCAAACAAGCTGTAATATTTCTTCTTTTCCTTCCCTGCTCCTTCCCTGGCTTAGCAATGGTACAATCTCTCTTTAAGCAGGAATACATTCCTCATGAATCCAGCTATACAAACACACTTCTGTAATGAAAATAAGTATGTTCCAGAACTAAACAATCCATACTCACCCAAAGTATTTGTTGCAAAGTTTTTTTCAAGTCCATCTTCAGTTAACTCTCTGTTATTCACCATACATCCCGCATTGTTGATCTGTAAAACAACTCCTTTAAACAAAAATAATCTACACAAATATCTACAAGGAAATCCACATGTACAAGCAGTCAATGTTAGTTTGCTGGGTTTTGATACTGCAACACAAAGCTACAACCTATTTCAATAAACCATGCTATTCCAAGTCACTCTATGGCTGATCATAGAGGTTTCTCACAAAAGAAAGAATCCTCAGAGAAATGGCTCACCACAGATGTATTACACTAAGAACCAACAGTCCTCAGTGCCTTACCCCAAGTCTTTAAACTCTTTTTTCACAGAAAGTAATATGCAAGCATTTTTTTTTATTTTGTAGAAAAAATACTGGAACATAAATATGCATAAGTAAACTGTACAACATGTAGAAGAATGACCCGCAGGAACTCCCACCCTCAGCAAAAAAAACAAATGAGCTCCAAATTTGGCAGGTTATCCAGGTCAGCAGGTTGCTGCATCCTAGTTAGCCCTGAGAAGAGCAGAGCTAACTAGCAGAGGTGCTTCATAGTGACTTGGTGTCCTGGTTGTAGGATCTCAGCTTTTCTGTCTACCTGGCAATCCTGCCCGGATACCTCACCTGATTCACACATTGCCAAGAACAGTGCTGCACCACACAGTTGGTATGCACTGTAAGACACATCCTCATGAACAGCCAGAAGTGTGCAAGCTGTGTGCAACCAGCATAAGCTCAGACACACTTCTTTCCCTATCTTACCTTCCAGAGGGAGCTCGAGCTTTTCTTTCTCACCTCAAAAAAATATCTGTCCCTACACACCTTCCTGCTCGTTCACTGCCACTCCTCAAAAGCTGTTTTCCCATTTTTATCAGAAGTTCCTCATCTACTAAGCAAGAAAATAACTGCTCCAGGTACCTCAGCTTTAGAACAGCCCCCTTAGCAAATTTTCACTGCTAAATAAAGGGGAAAGTGTACTGAGCCCTTTACCAACCATGACATTTAACTGTTTGCTCTCTCCCTGGCTCTGTCTTAGACTTGTCTTTAGACTTTTCATAAAAGTTTAATCTTTAAGAAGGTCTAGTTTCAAGAGGGACAAAGTAACTAGTAATGGAAGTCAAACAGAAAGTGTGTCATAAGAGTCTCAAAAGATGCAGCTGAAATGCAGTCTCAAAAGATGCAGCTTGTACTGCTCTTGTCTCTTCTTCTTATCTTTGTGAACTGAGAATGGACAAGAGCAAATAGACCATGGATACGCCTGAAAAAACATTTAGAAAAAATTAAGCAGAGAATTGGAAGACAAATTGTGACATCTACATGACCTGTAGGACAAATTCATAGGCTATGCTCTCCAAAGACAGACACAAGGTTTAAGTATGTAAACTTACCAACACATTTAATTTATGTTCATTTCTGAATTTTTCAGCAAATTTCCATACTTCCTTGGGATTAGATATATCCACAATATGCAAGAAGATATTCTAAAAGAAAAGAAACTAAGTTATAAATAACAGGGACAGCGAAGAGACCCTTTTCACTGCTTAGGCTTGTCTAGGTGAAAAAGTACTTAAGCAGTATGAAAAAAATATTGTCTCCAGAACACAACTAAAACAGGTTAACATGCACAACTGAGAAATATAATTCTAGTCCTTAAAACATGCTTAGTCACTTGATTCAGCTGCTTCTGAGACACAGTTTTTTAATGCCAGAGTCCTACTTAGACAAATACGTGACAGACAGTCAGGCATAGCAGAGAACTAGAAAAATATTGCAAAGCTTGCAAAACTTCAGTTTAAACAATTCATACAGCAGCTTCCTCTTTGGCTGTAAGGAACTTTCCAATGAAATGTTCAAGGTCACAGCATTAGAGAATAATTTAGCTTGGAAGAGACCTCTGGAGGCTGCTTGGCAAATATGGAGATTCAACAGCCTGTCTGAGCCCCCTGCTCAAGTGCTTTATCACCCCCATGGTGAAAGTTTTTCCTACTATCTACTCAGCATTTTTTACCCTGTTCTAATCTGTGTTGGCTGCCTCTGGTCCTTTCACTGCAGACCTCCAGGAGAAGCCTAATACTGTCTTCCCTACACACTCCCATCACATGGCTGTAGACTACAGTAAGACCCACCTGGGCCTTCTCAACACTGAGCAAAATCAGCCTCCTAGACTCACACTGCACATCACATGTACCATTTCCCTTGTCACCTGGGCAGCCCTCCACTGGACTTGCAAGACACGGATGACTTCCTCGACCTGGGGAGTCCAAAACTGGGCACAGAACTCCTGCTGTGATCTCACAAAGACTTAACAGAGAGAGATACACCTCCCTCTGCCTGGTGGCTAGCCTCATGTTCACACAGCCTGGGGTGTGTTGGCCTTCCTTGCTGCAGGGCACACTGTTCACTCAGAAATAACTTCTGCAAAGTCCCTTTCTGCAAAGCTGCTTTCCAGCCAGCTAGGCAAAGACTGCACTCCACACCATCACCTGAGCTGTTAAAGAGATATCATCAATTTTTGCCCCTATATTGACTCATGGGGGTTGCCACTAAAAATCATTAACAGATCAGCTTTGTTCTGTTGATTGTTACTTTCTGAGCCATATGTTCCAGACAGTTTTCCACCCACCTTGTCATCCACCAGTTCAAACTGCATCTCTCCAAAATGGCTACAAGGATAGCATGTAAAAAGCCTTGTCAAACCTAAGGAGCGCACTGCTCCCTTCTTGTCCATAGGCAGAGCTATCTCATCAAAGGCAGCAATCAGGACAGTCAGTCCAGGTTGGCCCTTGAAAAATTCACACTGTGTTTTCTCAATCACCTTCCTGTCTTTCATGGCTCTCATGAGGATTTGCTCTGTAGTTTTCTGGGGAGCAAGGTGAGGCTGATCAACTTGTAGTTCCCCAAATCCTGCTTGCCTTTTTTGAAGATGAGTGATTTGTCTTTTTCCAGTTAACAGGAAGAACTTCCCACTTTGAAGAGCTTCTCCCTGAAGATCAACCAGTTTTTCCACAGCCTTTTGCTACCAAACAGCTCCATAAAAAAACAAAACAAAAATCTTCTTTCCTAAACCCAAATATTGTAATTCTACTACTCATCCTTCTTGTCTGTCTTGATCTTAAATTCCACAATCTCATGACCACTTCCACCAAGGCAGCTGTTCAAGACTGCTACTGATAGCAAGTCCAGCAGAGATCACCTCCAGCTGGCTTGGCCAACACTCATATCAAAAAAATCATCCTTGATGTTCTCCAGAAATTTCCTGGGTTGTTTACGCTCTGACATGCTGCCAGCAGGTGTCAGGGTGGTTCAAGTGCTCCATGAATATCTGTGACCATGGGGCTTCCTCAGACCTCTAAGAAGACTCCATCTACTTCCTCTACTTCATCAGGCAGTCTGTAGCAGACATCCACCATGATGTCACCCACACTGGTATGACCTCTGCGCCTTACCCAAAAGCTCTCAACTGAGTCATTACCCATTTCAAAGCAAAGCTTCATGAATTCAAGCCACTACCTTGCAGAGAGCACTCCTCTTCCTTGACTTTCCAGGTCGTGTTTCTAAAAGGGTGTTGTGGTTTAACCCCAGCCAGCAGCCAAGTACCACACAGCCACTCCCACACTAGCAAGACCAGGAGGGAATCGGAAGGGTAAAGGCTAGAAAACTCATGGGTTGAGGTAAAGACAGTTTAATAGGGAAAGCAAAAGAAACATACGCAAGCAAAGCAAAACAAGGCCATGGCCATTCCACCCTGAGAATGCCCAATTCATCTGATCTCACAAGCTAAGCAGGGTTGGGCCTAGCACTTGGATGGGAGACTGCCTGGGAATACCTGGTGCTGCAGGCTTTTTACAAGGAACTAATCCTCTGCTTCCCAAGGGCAGGCAGGTGTCCAGGAGAGCAGGGCCACATCGCACATAACTGTTGCTTGGGAAGACAAAATGCCATCACTCCAAACATCCTCCCCTTCCTCCTTCTTCCCTCCACTTCATAAACTGAGCATGATGTCACATGGTCTGGAATATCCCTTTGGTCAGTTTGTCAACCTGTCCCAACTGCATCTCCTCCCAACCTCCTATGCACACCTAACTGCCTTGCCAGCATGGCAGTATGAAAAGCAGAAAAGGCCTTGGCTCTGCCTAAGCACTGCTCAGCAATAACAAAAACATCTCTGTATTAGCAACCCTGTCTTCAGCACAAATCCAAAACACAGCCCCATACTAGCCATTGTGAAGAAAATTAACTCTACCCCAGTCAAAAGCAGCACAAAGGGCAAGGGAATACATCTACTCCACCACTCTAGTAATGCCAACCATTTCTCTCTAATCCCAGTGAGATCACACTCTGCAATCATGCATGGATTCCTGTGTTTCCTACATCATGTGTATTCATGTATAGGCATCTGAAATGGGCTCCCAGTCATGCTGCTTTCATATGAAAACTGTGAGAGCTTCCTCCATTTTGCAGTCCCCTAGACATTTACTCACTGTCCCTGTGATAACTACCTAATGAAACCAGTTTAAAGCCCTCCTCACTAGCTTAGCAAATCTGCTGGCAAAGACACTCTTGCTCCAATTTGTCATTGCTGCTCAGTAATACTCACTTTTCAGAGGTCAAAGAGGTCATAAAGGCCATAGACAAAGTGACAAAGGCCAAAGTGACACCAGAAGCACATTCAGGTGTTGACCTGCGGGGTGTGTATGCTCCTACTCAAGCCCTTCCCTTTCACTGTAAGGATTTAGAGGACCACTCCTTGGGCTCCCATGCCCTTGACTCCCTGTAAGCACTCTTGAACTCCAGGTCACCCCTCACAATGTCACGGGTGCCCATGTGGCTGGGCAACAGGAAGTATTGGTCCTAGGTCCAGACCAGCCTCAGCAGACTCTCCACAATACCCTTAGATCTGAATCCCCAGCAAGTGACAAACCTCTCAAGACATCAAGCCAAGACTGCAGATGGGTGCCTGCATCCCCCACAGGAAGAAGCCTTCAGCCATTATCACCCACCACTTCCTCCCACTGTCAACAACTGTTCAGGATCATGTGTCTCTAACACCTCCCCTGACAGAGCCTGTTCTTCCTCATCTGTTACCATGGCACTATACCTATCTTATAAATGCACATCTGCAGGCAGAGAATGAGCCTCCCTTCTGTTGCCAGCACTCACAAGCTTCCATTCCTCCTCATCTTAGGAGTCTCTATCCTCTGCTTACTCAAGCACAGCTTCTAGCCACCCTTCCTTCCATACCATGTGCTCTTTGGCTCTCTATAAAGACCCTGTCAATCTCCTGTTTCTATTCCCTATGGCTATGCAGCCTGCTCACCTCCTGCTGTCGCTTCACCTGGCAGCCCAGCACCCTGATGACAGCAGAGCCCAACAAATGAAGCCACCATCATGCGCTGCCCCAGGCTCAGGGAAAAGTACCAGTCACTCCCTGCAGCCCAACATCTGCCAGATTATTCCTCTGGAGCTCTGTCTGGGCCAGTCTCCCATGTGCCAGGCACAGCTGCTCCAACCAGAGTGGGAGAGCATGCTTTCAGGTGCATCACTGCACCCACTCCAGCTGTCTCAGAGTATCAGGTGCCTTCTGCATCCCCTTCTATGCTAACTGCTGCATTAAATGCTAAGTTCTTGTTAGTCATCCCATGTCACAACACTCTTGCAATGTTTTGCAATACTAAGACCAGGAATGGGGATGCAATATGTAATAGAATTAAAAAAAAAAAGCTTGACATATTGACATAGAGCAAAGTTATAATTTTCTAAAACACTAAAGCTAGAAATAATGCCTGCCTCAAAAACATCAAAAACCTTTTGCTGTTTGTTACAGGCAATTCATTTTCTTTTTTACAGAGTTGTGTTCTACATAGTACAAGCACAGTGGCATTTATCTGCATACAAAGGCACATCAACTCCTACTCTTCTCCTAGATAGCACTTAGTCTCAAAGACACACCACAGACAGTCTTATGACATATCCCAGGAAAAGGTTGTTTTAAAATAATTATGCAGAGGATGTGTTCTCATGCAAAACAACAAATAATCATTAAAGGGCCTCCTCTCTTTCCAAGTTGTTTCTTTAAATACTCATTATACAAGCAAATGAGATAAGTGAAGAAGCTGAAAAAATTATATGGCATTATTCCCTGCCTATAATTCTGCTTTCCTGAAGATAAAAAGCACATGACTCTCTCTAGCCATTGGATTTCAGCTCTTTAGTTGAGTTAGGGTCAGAATTTTCTCCTTGTAATAAGGTACTCTAGGATGACCTTGCTTGATGAGGGAGATTGGACCAGATGACCCACTTCCAACCTTACTCATTCTGTGAATCATTCTGGACCACAAACTTGACACTGCTCTACTGTTTCGAGCTGGATACCTCTCTAGAAGCTTTCTACTTTTAAAGCTACTACTGTTATCTACTGGTAGAGAACAGCTAAGGTTTTTTGGGCAGATGCTCAATATTACAAGGGATTTCAGAGATTGAAAAAGATCTAATTCAACACTTATCTGCTGAAGACTGTCACACTGACTCAGGAAAAGGACACACACGCCTGTTCCCTATAAAAGTCCTCAGTGGTAGAAAAGCCATTTTCAAAGTGAAACCTAATCTTCGTGACTGGATCTACTGTAACAGATTAGGAGAACTTTCCAGTTCCCAAGTCTAGGTGCAGGTGCCTGTCAAGTAACTCCATTTCAGCACTGAACTCAGGCATGTGTTGCAGAAAACAGGAAAAATCTTTGGTTATACACTTCATTATAAATGAAGCTTTGTTACATACTATAACAGGATCTCCATCCAAACTATCAGAAAGAGCAAGTTCAGTCTGGATACAGCTTGTCAAGTTGTAGATAAAGCATTATATTATCTCAATGGATTGCTTCTGAATGAGTACTTATAAAGAAGGATGTTCTTGGGGACTCCTTATTAAAATGCTCTTCCCACTGCAGTCACGTGTCCCACAGGGCCTCTTGTACAGCTCATCTAACACTTCGCTGAAAGCTGCTCTCTATACAAGTGCCCCATCCCCAGGGTCACAAACAAGTCCTGCAGTGCCCTTGTACTCTTTCATGACTACAGAAACTACAGGTTTGCAGCCTATCAGAGTGGGAATGCAGTAATTCATCTGTCTTTAAAGGAAGAACATTATTTGCTTCAAGTTTTGTTTCACCAGATGATAGAAAACAGAACATGAAGGAACCTTCAGAGATCAAACTCACCTCTTTTCCCAGACTGTCTGATTGCAGTTAGTAAGGGAGGTAGTACAGATAATCACCAGTCTTACTACAGCCATGGGATTACACAGCTATAGATAGCTGGGAAGTATTTATTTCTACATAACAACTGATCTAATTTACCTCCATTAAAGAACTGAAGTGTAATGCTGGTTGCGTCACACTAGGGAGCTGAAACCTAAAAGCAGAAATTTAGTCAATAAGACATCTCTAACCATAAAATGTCTTCAGAATTTTTGATCCACATTAAAAACTATTACTGGAATCAAAATACTGTGTACAAGAGCCAAGTCATTATTTAAAATGAAGATAGGTCTCCATCCAAGTGCTGTGGATTAACCCTGGTAGGTAGTTCAGCCCTGTACCACCACTTACTCACTCACTCCTCTCCCAGTGGAAAGGGGTAGACAATCATAAAGGCAAAACAGATAAAACTTGTGGGCTGAGATAAAGACAGATTAATAAGTGAAGCAGAACTGTGTGCGCAAACAATGCAAAATAAGGAATTCATTCACTACTCCCCACTGTCAGGCAGGCATTTAACAATCCTCAGGAAAGCAGGAATTCTTCCCATGCATCAGTGATTTGGGAAACACCACAACTGTCAATGTCCCCCTTTACTCCTTCTTCCCCCCAGCTTTTACTGATGATCCCTTTGGTCAGTTGGAGTCAGCTGTTCTAGTGATCCCCCTCCCATCTTCTCATGTACCCCCAGCCTGCTTATGGTGGAGCAGTGTGAGAACCACTTTGATACTGTGTGAGCTCTTAGCAATAACTAAAACATGGGTTGTCAACACTGGTTTGGTCACAAATCCAAGACACAGCACCACAGGAGCTGCTATAAAGAAAATTAACTCTATCCCAGCCAAAACTAAGAGCTAATGACCTATGTGCTTCTCCATAATCACACCCTCCTGAATAATTAGCAAAAACAACAGTGACAGCTACAGGGGCATACTGCAGAATGACACATACAGAAAAAAAGAATATGTAACAAAAGGAAGGAGGTAAGGAAGAGGTATTATAAGAAAATGAGATGGAAAAGCACACAGAACATGGAACTAGGACCACACACAGGACTTAACAGAGCAGCCAACCTTAGCAAACCAAGGGCATGTTATTCAGACACATAAAACCTTCAGCTCCAATGCAGTAGACTCATAAATGTTGTTGCAAGTGTTGCAACACATTAACTTTTAAAAGCCTCAGCCACATAGTTGGGAATAGTAAGTAGGACATCACAAAACATATCAACAACAAACATCAAATAAAACAGCATGCTGCTAATGATGTTACTTATCACAGAAAACATAATCTAATGAAATGAAATCACTTCAAACCATATGAATGATAAACTACAAGATGTTTCCACATCCGTATGAAAACACTATTAAAAACACAAGAGTAAAACGTCAAAACAGTATCTCAAGGCCTCCAAGGTCTTTAATATTAACAATTTTTCTAAGAGTAAACAAGAGACTGAAAGGTAACTCACCGGATTGCCCGTTTCTGTCACTATTTCTTCTTGGGCAACCTCGGCCCGTTCCTTATTTCGGCAAACCAGATGAACCATGCCACCTGGTGGATTGAAACAAGAAACACAGTTGATAATTAATTACTAACTGCATTTGGGGGAGACATTAGCATTTTAATTGGGGGAGACTTTGGATATAAGAAGAGAGGTGGAAGATTTCTGCTTGGCTCCGGTCCCTCGGAAGGCAGGCAAGATGAAGTATCATGCTGTAATAGGGTCCTTACACAAGTCTGCATGTATGGAAAAGACCACTGCACTCCAAGTACTGTCTGCTCAAACCTTTTTCTGTCAGGTCTGTACATCATATTTAGTGGATGAAATACCAGAGCCATACTGGAGATTGAAGCTAAGGCATCTGTATTATAAATGCTTCTTTTGATACACGCCTTAGAAAGTTCAGTAAAGAGCTTGAACAACACAAGTGACTAGAATTGCTCTATGAAAAGGAAATTAAAATGCCAGGTATCAGAATTCTTCTCAGCAGTGGAGATATGACAAGGACCATGGCCTCAAATTGTAGTTTAGGAGGCTCAGGTCATCTGAGCCTTATTTCCATTAAGGAAAATAATTTTCATTAGTTTTCTTCTAAAGAGATCATAACTTGCATCCTTGCAGGTTTCAGGCAGCGAGACAAAGCAATGACTGGTTTGATGCAGTGTTGCCAGCAGTTGCTTCAAGTGAGATGCTGGACAAGGTGACCTCTACAGGTCTCTTCCAACCAACTTTTCATTGAAAGGAACACCCAGGGCAAGGCTTTTTTCAGAGACCTGGATACTTGCCATGATCTCATCACACACTATAGAAAGCCTTTAAAAAGAGGACTAAAGTAGGAATATATTTTTTTATTTTGATGCCTTGTATTCTCTGATCATTACAAGTCATGCTTTACTCTCAGTCACAGGAATACCTGTACTCTTTACTTTTACCTATTTTTAAAGGTGTCTTAGGGATTGCTAAGAGTTCACCACTAGAAAGCTCAAGGAACGTAATCCCAAAGGATGCATAATAGTAACAACAGTGCCAGGTCACTCTTCTAGCACCCAGACCCCGAATGCAAAACACCAAGACTACCCTAGGGATAGTGCAGTCACACACTGCACAGCCCAGTCTGGGGGCTGATAATGAAATTTTCTGTTTACAAGAGAGGTTCTTCCCCTGAGCACCACAATAGCAAGTATCCTTGGCATGCAGCTGATGGGGCCAACAAGCCTCAAGGTTCTTCTGAGGTTTCCTAACAGCATCTGATTCCTCCACAGCACTTCCAGAGCTGTCTGGGTTACTTTTACCAAGTGCACAATCACAGGCAGCCATAGGAAACTCCTGAATCTGGGAAAACAATACAAATTACACTAACTGATGTTTAACACAGTTAATCTTCATTTTGTGTAACACAAATGCTGTCCATGGAAGGGACCCTGCACAGACAGGCACTGAATATGAACAGATCAGAATGAAAGACAGTCTTTGCCGCAGGGAAAACAGATTTCATGAGTGAGAGAAAAGCCAATCAGAAGGGGCAGTCCAAGGCTCATTTCTTTGGCCATTCTCACAGTGACTGCAGAGTTCACTGCAAAGGAGGGCTCCAATTACAGACCTTAAGGCAGTTGAGAATGCGCATTTGCAGATGTTTAAGAAGCTCTTCCCAAAACACAAAAGACAGCACAACTAATATGTGTAGATACAAATTAAACACATGGAAGAAGCAGTTGGCCTTCAAGCTGATCAGGAACATTCTCAGAGTCTACAGCAGAAAAACATTCCACAAAAAGAGATGCATTTTTAAGGACTTTGAATATAAACTTTTTTGTTGCCTTTGAGGACACAGGGGAAGTTTTGGTGTGACCTATGGACTAGGAAAGGAATTTGAATACATTTTCCACAGTAAAGATGAAATTATTTGAACTTAACACATGGGAATTGTCAGAGTAATTGGGAGAAGACTGTATCAAGTCGGAAGTGCAGTTCACAAGACAGAGAAAAGCCCAAATCTGCATATCCATAAGACACCAATTCAGAGAAAAGCTGAACTTAGACTACAGAAATTTTCATCGAGATCATTATTAGTTGGAAAGGTCTGAATGCTTGAAGGTAAAGCCAACATAGCTTGATTATTCTTTTGCTGAGTTTGAAATCCTTATTATCTTGTCATGGTGTACTTTAAGAGATTCAACTAGAAGCCAGGGCCGCAACAGCTGACATTGAGTTTCAAAGTGACATGCTCAAGAATAGGATCAGGAAGGCATTTTAATTTCATATGAAACAGCAATGCCCATACAACACATCAGACACACAGTCTGAGCCCAAGGTTGTTCTGCTAAACATGGCGACCAAATCCCACACAGATCCAACCAGCCTTCCACCTTGCAAAACCTGGCAGGCATATCCATTTGTGAGCAAAACAGTCACCAGACAAAGCAATATTTACATAAAGCTATTATGTATGATAGCAGTAGTCGGAACCTGATATCAATCACATGCTGATACTGATGGAGATCTTTAACCCAAAGACTCTTTGATGCTAATAGTTCTGAATTAGTTTAATTTAACTGAGTCGCACCTAAGCACGCAAGGAGAGAGCAAAGAGGCACAAGCTCCTCCTTTTTATTCTACATGCCAAAACTCCTATCACTCTTGCACAACAGGAATTATTTTGTCAACTCTGTAAGGGATTACATTTATCCTTCAACAGCAGTTAGGTCCAGTTCGTACTATCTCCTTGTGTACAGAGAGCTAGATAAAAAAATAATTGCATGTAATCAGCCCAAAGGCACAAACTCCAAGGTATTATCATTAAGATCAAGCACAACTACATTGCTTTTTCTATACTCTCCCATCTCAGCTTTGCAAAGCCAATTGTTTTCTTTCATCATATGATAAATTCACAAATTCTTCAAAACAGTTCAAATTCAGCCAGGCTGCTACTTGTACTGAATCAGCTTTAAAAAGACTGTGATCCATCACCAACATCTTAGATGCCACAATAACACAAATAGTTTTGGTAAACATGCACTTAAAAACACTGTGCAGATCCTCTCCACTTATTTGGTTTCATTATGCCAGTTTTCACAGCACCAATTGCGCTTAAACCTGTAACCCACACTAAGAGCCCAGTAAAATGACCCCTCATCCCGTGCATTTGTGTGTGTTTATGCTGGAAGGCCAAGCCTGCTTCCTTCCATGTTATCTGTATCAACTCCTCAGAGCTCCACTGCATTTCAGCTCACCTCTCCTTGCTATCTCCTTGGCTGTGGCCTTGCCAATGCCACTGTTTGCACCGGTGACCAGGAAGGATCTCCCACTCACATCCACCTCCACATCAGCTGGATTGAAATGCTTGGAAGCAGATTCGTAGCCGCCCCTGAATAAAGCAAGACACACCCGTAAAAAACTAGAAGAGCCCACTTCTGAAAAAAAAAACATTGGGGAGAGTTGAAAAGCACTTTTCCCTCACAGCTCAGCTGAATGCCCCCCCTTGCCCTGTTACTCTCTGTACTCGTGGGACAGGCCACAAATACTGCCAGTGACACTGCAACCAGTGATGTACCACAGAATCATCAAGGTTGGAAAAGACCATTGAGATCATCAAGTCCAACCATCAACCCCAGCACTACCACCACGTTCACCTCCAATCCATGTCCTCAAGTGCTGTAGCCACATGATCTTTGAACACTTCCAGGGGCGGTGCCTCCACCACTTCCCTAGGCAGCCTGTTCCAGTGCTTTACAAGCCCGTCCACGACAGCAGCTCCTCGTGGCGTTCGCCCGCCACAAACACCCACCCCCGACTTGGACAGCGGGGAAGGGGCCCGGCCGCAGCCCCGGGGCGGGGCGGGGCGGGCCGTGCAGCTCTCACAGAGAGAGGCGGCAATCCGCTTGGCTTGGCGGGGTGGGGAGCGGTCGATTGAAAATACAAAATAAACTCGAGCTGGTTGAACTCCCGCGGGCAGGCAGGAACGCCCCGGCCCGGGCGCTGCGCCCGCCCCACGCCGCGCTCCCGCCCGCGGGGGCCGCCGCCCGTACCTCGTGTATTCCCGCAGCCCCTTCACGAACCACACGGTGTTGCGGTACCAGGACATGGCGCTGCTGCCTCCACCACAGCTGTGCCGGCCCCGCCTCTGCCCTTACATAAGGTCAGCCCTGCCCGCGTTAGGTAAGGGCCGAGAGGCGGCACTGCCCGGCCGCCCCCGCCGCCACGAACCGGCAGCACTGACGGAGGGTGCAAGGGCGGGCAACAAGTTTGTCAGTAGGGGGGAGCTGTGCCACCTTCCCCCTCAGCAGCAGTTTGTGGGTTGTTTCTGCTTATCTTTTCTGGTTTTTCCCCTTCTTTAGCCATCAAGGACAGCCGCAGCGAGCTTCTGCCGCGCCGGAGATGGCTGTGCCTGGTGATGGTGGTGGCATAGGAAGGATGGAGACTTTCCCAGGGCACCTGGTCGGGACAGATGCTGCTGCCAGCTAATCCAGAACTGCAAACGGGGTGTTGTGTTTTGGGAATGGGGAGCAGAGTTACAGGATCTATGCCTGCACCCTCTGCCCTGGAAAGCTGTCAAAGGGATGCTCTCACAGAAACATAACCGTGTTGTGCTACACCAAGGAGCGTTTTGCATAACAAATCCATTAAATATCCAGCTCCTACTAATGGAGCAAAGTATACTAGTAAGGAAAGGGTACACGAATGGCTGTTGCAGTAGGGGAAGTGAAACTCAAAATTTTGTGTTTTCAGTTCCTCTAGTATGTGCTTTGGAGCTATGAAGCCCAAGAGAATCAGTTGGAGTTGTACATCTGGGCAGCCCATGTTAGCCATAAGGAAATTGTCATTATAGGTATAATTATGCTTTTAAGTACATGAAAGGACTACGTACTTAGAAAATTCAGTGTACAAGTTAGATAAATTCATGTATTTTACGTGGTATGTGGGGTAATATGCAGAGAACCCTATCTAAGTTTTCAAGAGCTTAAGTTGCCTGGTTTCAATAGCAGAGATAGGGAAGAAATGGGAATATTCTTTTTTGATCCTGTATGATGGTCTGATACTTCTTTTTCTAAATCTTTTTGCTCTGGCAAAGACCTCATACTAAAATCTTCCACTTTCTCAGCACATTTTTTGAGTATTAGGCTCATACAAAAGTCACTTCCCACTATCAAGTTACACTTTTGAACTCGCTGAACTCGGCACTGTCCGCTTGTACTGTGTATTGTGTGTGAAGTAAGAGTTTTCAGCGGGCAAAGAGACACTTTTTCACAGTGATGTTTTCTTCCTTGCAGAGACCATCCAGCTACATGTTGTGCTTTTGCATGAAATCTAAAAATGCTTGTTCTTATTAAAACAGCTGAAAGACTCTATTAAAAAACCAATAGCCTGAGTCAGTTTTAACTGATCTTGTTCTTGGAAATGCCTGGGAGTTTGTGACTAAAGTATTCCTAAACAATTCATCCTGATTCTGTTGCTTGAAATGGAGACTTTGGGCCCAGAAGGGAACAGCTTGGCAGTAGTGTGAGTGGCAGAATGTTATTTCATATAGTGGAAATTGAGTGGCAGTCGAAACTATGGACATGTGCTGTGATGTCTGTGAGTATATGGAAATAGTTTTGTGATCATCACCGACAACATGCAATTGGCAACCAAAACTGTACAGCCTAGACTGCTATGATGATGTCTGATAATCATACTCGCTGTGAACAGAAGAGATGTTAGGCTTGTGCAAGTCCTGCATACAGGCTGAGGTAATGTCCCCCCTTCCTTCTTTCTGTCCCATGCCCAGCAAGCCCTTCAGCTTGTCTGTTTCCCTCACAGCCCAGAGGTGTGAGGTTATTTTCCTCAAACCCTGGCTCAGCAGGGGAAAACCAGAGCATTATGTGGGCATGCCTGCTGTTATGAATATTCGGGCAGAAAACTGCAGTGCTGCCCCACATTTTCATGCTAGTTAGAGACTGTCTTACCTTGGGCTTCATCTCAGCCCATGCATCTTCTCTGCATCTCAGTGTGCTGTTAGGAGAACAATAATGTTCCACAGCTGCTTATGCCACAGAATTAGCTGCATTCTTTACAGGAAATATGGTTTCATTTTGAAAAACATTAGCAAAGCCCAAACAAAACAATGGAAGCTCCTGTGAGTAAATGCAATAAACCAGGTTGTGTTTTATTCCCTTGTAATTTCTGTGTTTCCGTACTTATTTCTTAAGCACTGAGACTATGGGTAATACAAGCAGAATGGGATGATAGCTCTAATGTGTTTTGTTTGTAGTCTCAGCCTATATTGTCATAAATTAAGGAGTGCATCCCTGCAGTCTGCTGATCTCTGGAAGTAAATGAAGTGTATGCAGATACACCCAATTCCTTGCAGGCTAAACCATTTGGACTGAAAAATTCTTTGTCGTTACAGTAGGCAACAAACTTGAATGCATGTGTTTGTTGCTAGGCTGTGAAAGTGATTTTCTTCAGCTACCTGGGTTTTTTTTACTGCTCTTCTACTAGAACTTACTGCTGTTACTACCAGCTGTTGGACAGGAATGTTCATGGGCTTATTGACTCAGGTGAGTTCTGCTACACTCCATTCTTTTTTTCTTATTCTTCTGCAAATTTTGCTGCTTATTAGGATTGATTATTCTGGAGCAACTAGAGTTACCAAATTGCAGATGTTATCTAATAGTATGTATCCTCCAAGAGGTATTGAAAAGCAGGGCAACAGTCACACCTCGGCTGACATGGTTGTTATATGTTGTGTTCAAATACAAAAGGAATGGACTGAAGTTTTGTGTCTCCAAGCAGTCCACATACTGTTATAACAGAACCCACAATGATGTGTGAAACTTACCCATGCAAAGCTGTGGAGCCAAACCCTCACATGTAAAAAAGCACAACGTTTCTTTAGTAAAAGTCTTATTTCACCTGTTTTACAGAACAATTTTAATTTTTTTTAAGTCCAGTAAAAATACTGAAGCAACTCTTTTTCTGATATCTTCTGATAAATTATATTGATGAACTAGTAATGTGAAATCCATGCAGAAGTAGAATAGTGATACAAAAAGCAAAAATAAGCAATGATAATAAAAAGGTGTTTTTTACAACAACTTGTGAATAAGTGTGCATAGTGGGGGTTTTTTTCTCCATTATTTGCACCCTGTGTATTCATTTTATATTGGTACTGAAAGGTTTGGGTTTTTTTCGAAAGGACTGAGACTCAAATCCACAGGATATCACAGAATCATAGAATATCCTGGGTTGGAAAGGACCTTAAAGATAATATAGTTCCAACCCCCTTGTCGTGGGCAGGGTCGCCTTTCACTAGACCAGGTTGCTCAGAGCTCCATCCAACTTGTCCTTAAACACTTCCAGGGATAGGGGCATCCACAACTTCTCTGGGCAACCTGTTCCATGCCTCACCACCCTCACAGTAAAGAATTTCTTTCTAATAGCTAATCTAAATCTACTCTCTTTCAGTGTAAGTCCATTCCCCCTTGTCCTGTCACTACATGCTCTTGTAAAAAGTCCCTCTTCATCTTTCTTGTACTCCCTTCAATATGCAGTTACCTAACTCATCTGGACATCAAGAGGACCTTGTTAAAAGAAAACTTTCATGTATGTTGGCCTACAGGCCCACAGTTTGCATCTCAGAGGCCCTCTCACATTTGAGCTGCTATACTGCAGGATGTGGAAAAGTATCACAGGTTCTTCCTTTGCTTGAGTGCTAATAATCATACAGAAGAGTCAGTATGGCTTAGATTTAAATCCGTGGGCGAAATCAGTCTCTGATATAACTATTCATCTCAGTGAAATTGCAGCAGGGTTGATTATAATTAGCATGACTGGTAAATGTAAAGTACCTTAATTTTTAGACTGCAGTCACATAGGCTCATGCACTTACACTTATTTTTATTCAAATAAGACATTTGGTAGAAATTCAGTATTACAAACACATATACATGATTTCTGAGTTTCATACAATTTGTTCAGAAACCTTACAATATGACATTGTTCTTTTTAGCAGTTTCCTTCTACTTTGTTTTCTTGTACTATGCAATATTAGATGGCACTTGTCAGCCTTTTTTATTTTCCCTCAATATTGTACTTTCTAAAAATGTCTTCTGTTTCCTCCTGTGGCTAACACCTGTGGGACTTTCATCTACTCCAGTAGTAAACGGGAACCCGAAGAAACTTACGCCAAGAAGCAACAGTTTAAAATTGCAGTGGCTCCCCATTGTGATGCAAGGTCCCTATCAACTAAAATATGGAGAAGATGAATACTCAGAGATAAGATTCAAGATAACTTACAGAAACTGATCTGGTTTAGAATGTTGTACAATATTTGCTAGTTATCACCGTTTTAACCTTCATAGCCCTTTGCCTCTAAAGTCAAAGCATTTACAGTCTTTTACACCAACTATTCACATTTCAAGATCTGAGACATTCAAAACAGCTCTTGGCACAACTCAGAGTATCTTCTGCTTCTTTGTTTTTTTTCTGCACAGTCACCTTGTAGTTTTAAAGTCTGATGTCTTGGGATCTCACAAAGCTCAGAGGAAGTGCTGTGTGAGAGATATCATCTTCTCTGACAGCACAGCATTCCAATTTCCACTCCTGAAGAGATGAGGTCTTGATATGTCTGATGCTCTTCTTTTCTCTCTTCTTTGGGTCAGCAGGTAGAAGCTGGCTGTGTTCGACATTTGGAATGAAGGAACAAAACATTGCCTGTCTGTCTGCAGCTTCTAAAATAGCTGTGGGAAGCTGCTCTCTTAGAGCTTTGGAATATTATGCTCATTGCTAAAGAAAGTGGAGTAGTGGGAGAAGAAATATACTGTGGGCAATAAACTGTAATAAGTGCAACTTATTTCATGAGTACTATGATTGCATTTATGATATGTATAGCGTCAGTGTGTGCATACAGAATTGTCTTTGTATTTTTATATTATTAGATTTCTGTAATACTCACAACTAGAGGTGAGCAGGCTATCTAATCCGTTGAAATAATGTACATTTTTTCCTTTAAATGCTGGAAATAGACCTTTTTTTCTCAAGAAGGGGAGATGATTTAAGTGAAACAGTTACAACTGGTTTGAGTTCATAATAATTAGGTTAAGAATGTATTTTGTTCAATTTTCCTAAGAAATTTATATTACTGTGAAAAAAAGGAATGTTTTCAGTTTGTAATTTTAGTCTAGTGGCAAAATACTAAACATTTTAAGGTGTGGACTGTATTTTCAGCCACTT